GCTGTAGAGGCCAGTGAAACGTTGTCTCTGAAGCTAATATTTAAATTTAATCTCGTACTGACTTTTGCGCAATTTGACCTACTTCTGCAGCCTGACAGCGTCTTCCTGCTTGGAGAAGAAGTTGCCTGAGTCGTGTTGGCCAGCTGGATTCTTTGATGTTCTGTGAACGTCACTTTCTAACAACTAGATGAAATTTACTGTGCACCTCTGGCTGACCCCTCCGGTTCCAGCACTGTTTCACACCTAGGGTGTAAAATGTGCTCCGCTCGCATGCCACCTCACCCACTGACACACACACACACACACACACGCACACACAGAATCTAACAAAATAGCTGTTATTGCCGCATGAATTTGGGACACATAGGACTAAAGTGATACTGCTTTTCACAACTTTGTTTTTTGCTATGTTTAACTGCCTCTGTCAACTCCATCAATGCCATTTGTATAATAATGAGACCTCTGAGTTAACCTGTGAGCTCTCTAAACCTATTATAACTAAAGCAGCTGTGGCTCTTGAAGAAAAAAACAGACTGACATTTTTTCGGCACATTAGAGTTCTTCATCCTCAGTCATCATCATCATCAATTTCTAGTCTCTTTGTAGGACTCATTTACTCCTTTGGCGCCCTTGCATTGCAGCTACATGGGTGTCCACACAGAACCATGAGTGCACCCTATAATGACAAAATGTATGTCATTCAGACCCAAGCAAACCCCCACATGCCCACAGTAGCAAAAAGTGTAAATCTAGGTTTATAATGCCTTGTGGATGTCCACATGGATAGTTGTAGACACCACAGATAAGTAGTTACTCTTATAATATTAATTTATAGTCCACTTGGGAGGACTGACTTGCAGTGTAGTGTAGACCATGATTGTGAAACATGCGGCCTGACACCCAGAACCTTCGCAATTGATCTGCAATTTAGGTAATGCAGTGATTCTTGGAATTTTAAAAAAGGCTTTTAGCCTTGACCAAATTTAGCAAAATGTTTTTGTTCTGTCACCCAAGAATTGTGTGCACTGCCATTGCGATAGCTGATACTCATGTTTCTGCTTATAGAGCAACATCCATTGCATATTCTTGCAGACTGTTTCGAGGAAACCTATTTTAAACTGGAAACTGTAGCAGGCCCTGGGATTTGTTTTTAGATTTGAACATGTCTAACATCTCTACAAACAACAACGACAACAACAAAATTCCCCCCAAAACCAAACCTATCCTCTATCAGTCCAATGATATTGTGCAATTTAATCTTTCTTGAAGATATTTGGTGTTTCACAGTGAAGGAGAAATCACAGTAAGACTAACCTAACCCTGAAATTGTGTATCTGAGTATCAAGAGAACCTGAATTATCTAAAACCCTTGAGAGCCATAATAGTCGTGAACTACAGAGTTGTGCACAGTGATATATTTGCTATAAAGTTTTCTTTTACTGTTGCTCCTGAAATGAGTTTCACATCAATGAGATAAAAGTCAAAATAACGTAGTTATGCAAACTATTTTGCTATGCATGCATGTATAATATGTTTGATTTCTACCGTGTTCTACAGTGATTCATCAAATTTCATATCTCTTATCTTTTTAAAAAAAAATTTATTTGCTATGTCACTACCAGAATATCCAAAGAATGATGTTATAAATGATGTCAAACTAGCTTTTAGTCCAAGCAGAGGGAACACCCTGGAGGTCGTGGTGGGGTTGAGGGAGGCACAGACAGGTGGCAGGCAGCCCAGCCTCTGAGCCTTCTGTGGGTGGGCATCCACCCAGAGGTGCCAAACTCTCAGCCAGGCTCCCACAGCCTCACCTTGCTCAGAGTGACTGGCAGGGTCGATCAGCGGGTTCAAACCCAGTTCACTCTGCCCGCAGCCTGACATAGCACATACCTATCCATCACTTTCAGAGCTCAGGCCACAACAGTATCATATTATACACTTATGTCCTTTTATCTGTCATATTTAAGCCTTCTGGAGCTTCCAGCTCGTCAGTTTTCTAGTCAGAACAACTGAATGTGCTCCCAGCTGGAGGACACTGTCTACAAACATGTATTTATTTAATTACCTGCTTTACAGCATGCCAGTTCTCCATCAAGGAGAATACACCATTGACACAAAGCCAACTGGAAAGAACAGAATTAACTGCTGTGTTGAACAGGGTTTGGATTTATGACAGCTTTGATGTTTAATAGATGATTTAATAAAGAGCAGACAGTCCAACACAGACAGGAAAGACAAATTGCCTCCTAGCTCAGAAAAGGGGATGCATCCAACTGGAAAATGCTGTGAAAAAGCATAAATGCACAGACTCAGCATTCACAGACAATCAGTAAACATGTCATGTTGTTTTTTTTAGTGAAGTTGTACACTCGAATAAAGCCTGAATGTTTTATTATTTGGAATAGGTTTCAGATTTAAGATGCCATATTTTTTTAAGACACGAATGCAAAATTTAAAACTTTAGTTTTTCACTAAAATGGGGGAATTTATCATCTCTGTTATGTTCTAAATCTACCCCATAAAAAGCCCTCAGTAGGGCAATCGTTTTTATTTAAGGGGACAGAAGGCACACCGGTCTCCCCTTTGGGAGATATGAACTGGGGAAATGTTTGCCTTCTCTTTGAATATATTGGAACTAAACTGTGCTCACCTGGCCTTGCTTAAAGTGTACAAACACATAAAATAAATTTCAAAAACTTGACAGAAATGTCTCTTTCCAAAAATCTTCCTTTAGTTAAAAATCCACAAACTTACTGTGAGCCATTTAATGTAGGAATTATTTCTACCAGCCTTATCCTTGAAGAAAAAGCCATGTATCTATATGTGTAGACAGTTTGTGGGTCTCACCCATCTCTTGGTTGGTGATGTGTAGTGGAAAGACAATAGTTCGTACGAGAAACTGTTCACAGTATGTGTGTATTATTCTAAGTACATTAGCCAAAATTTACGGAAAGATAAATTCTGTTTAGTTTTTCAAATGTCTTAATTTGGTACTTTTAGCACCATAAATCAAGTATAATCTCTCAAAAACTTGACAACTCACATCAAAAATAATGGAAATTACAGACCAGAGGAAAAAATAGAACACTTAAAGGGAATTTTGGGGTGAACTGTTCCTTTAATACCGAGCCTTTTCCAGGGAAAACACAGAAAGACTGGGGACACAGAGAGGTTACCAGCGACTATATTTTCCAGCATTCCTGGTTCTCACTGCTGAGGTGTGAAGTGACGCCTTCAGACTCATCAGTTCCCATGAGTGTGAAATAATCACACCTCAGCTTTAACTGGATAACAGAGGTTCATTAGGCTCCATTAAACCTCATTATATTTGCATTTTAGCCATTCAGGGCATAACTTTTCTTCCTTGAAGCACATAAAACAAGAGCAGCGGTTTCAGTTCACCGATCGAGGTAAAGACAGAAGAGGATTGGCGCTCACGCCTGATTTGCTGTGACAATAAAATGATCACACAGGTGAGAAATGGTGGGATGTAAAATGAAGGAGATGAAGTGAAGAATAGAGGACGCTGTCAGGTTCAAGGCTAGAGAGAGGTGAGGAGAGGCAAAGACCTGTTGAAGCAGCACATCCACTGTTCAAATACATGCCACACATGATCAAAACAACACACAATCCCAGACTCTCGATTTAGCGTTTTCATTCTGCATGCCAGCTTTTAATATTTTACTTAATGTCATTCATTAGTGTTGTGTTTTAAGACATAAACAATATTTATACCCAATTCAAACCCTGCACAGACCAACCGGCTACATCTGACGTCAAAATGAATCAGATAATAGGAGCAGTCTAATATCTGGGCTTGCCTCAATTGGTTTAAATCCATAAAACATGCATTTAGGCATAAACTGCACTTCATAGAAGAATTTAAGAGCTGATCGCACAGGGTGTCGGGGTTTACAGCCTCATGCAACATATTGCTTGGTTGCTGAAATACATGTTTATGTGTTTGCATTATGAAAACCTGTTCTGAATGTAAATCTTGCATGTTACTGCCAAACTGTAACTAAAGAAGAACCCAACTTTGGAAACCCTAACCGAGAATTGAAAATGGAAAGCTAAGTGGAAACTATAATATCAGTACTATAATAACTCTGATGTTGAATCAGATTTAGAAAATGTTATTGTTTTAATACTATCTATCTTTAGTACTATCTGTCGTGCAGCTGTTGAAATTTAGCTCCATCCATCCATCCATCCATTTTCATCCGCTTTGTCCGGGGCCGGGTCGCGGGGGCAGCAGCCTAAGCAAAGAGGCTCGTTGATAGATATTTGCTGATAATGGATGAGAATCCTGATTAAGTTCCACATACTTCTAATTTATAGTAAACGTTGACTTTTCTTGGTACTTTTGCAGATTAGTGTGAAGTACATATGCACATAACATCCATCTTCAGGAGCCAATGTAAAAAACTGTGGTTAAGTCAGCATACAGGCAGGTTTTTCTGTATCGTATATCATTGCTTTATTTCTGCAGTGTATGTCTTCTTCACACTCTTCTGTCATATTGTTGAGTGCGCTGACCTTTTCGCATGTTTGCTTGTGCGTGTGTGTTTGTTAGCAAGTGAAAGCAAGAAAGAAAAATGAGATTATTCCAAACAAATCCCTTAAACATGTGCAAAATGCATCAGGCCTGCTGCAGGGACAAAAAGCCAAAAAACCAAAATCTGTTTATTGTTTTCAGAAGGAGTCAAAATTCACACGTCGACTGCTGTAGCTCTGAGCTTTCCCAGATTCAGAGAAGAGGGAGAACCAGAGGGAGAGGTACAGAGACAGGGTCCCACTCATGCTGTGTGTGTGTGTGTGTGTGTGTGTGTGTTCAGGGGCAGTAGCCTCTGCTTAGACAGTGATTGTGAGAATCTGTGGAGGTGTCACTTCGCACCTCTGTGGCCTGGCCTGGGCTTATAAAGCACTGGAGCAGAGCTGAGGAGCACTTAAAGCTTTCCAGTCTCTCCGGTCACACTGTTGAGACCCTTAAACACAACATGGATACCTCCTCAGTTCCTCACCTTGACTACAGTCTGCAGTACCAGTGGTTCTCCGACTCGGACCTCTCCAGCATCTCCTCCCCAGAGACACTTTCTCCTGTCCACTCCATGGACTCCAGCCTCTCTCCTGGCTACCAGCAGCTCCCACAGTGTACTCCCAAGGGAGCCAAGACCGGTTATTCCCAAAGCCTCAAGTCCTCACCGTGCTCCTTGTCCGGACGTGGGCGCAGGACTGGGAGGCCCACTCGGATCCGGAGCAAGCAGAGGGAGAGCGCCAGCGAAAAGGAGAAATTAAGGATGAGGGATCTGACTAAGGCTCTACATCACCTCAGGTCCTACCTTCCACCTTCAGTGGCACCTGCCGGACAAACTCTGACGAAGATAGAAACCCTCCGACTCACCATCCGCTACATCTCCTACCTCTCATCCCAGCTGGGCCTCAGCGAAGAGGTGCTGTTTCAGAGGAGGGAACGAGCAGACACCTCAGTCAGTGACACGTCATCCACTGACATCCTCAGCTACTTCCAGAGTGCTTCCACAGGAGGACAAGTGACTCAGATGCAGAGCCAGAATCTGATCCAGAGCAGCCTGTACCCAAAACCATGTTATAGCCAGAATACTGTGCTGCATTCTGGGAATTGTAGTATTGGAGTGGATCAGCACCACAGACCATACAATGAAGCTCCCCAGAGAGATATGAGCATGGACGGTATCCTACAGTCGCCTCCAGTGCCACAGCCTTCCTGTCAGGTTTGTGAATATTAAATCAGTCACATAATTAAGAATTCACTGTTTGTACAACAATTTTTTTTGCATGTTTCTAATACTAATATATCTTCCACTTTCTTCAAAACAGATGTGTGGCAAAGACTTCTGCACCCCGCTGGTTCCAAGGGAGTATTGGGGTTGAACGCTTCAATCTCTGTGTGATCCTCAGCAGAAAAAGACAACAAACTTTACTGTGTTTACTGCCTCACTGTGAATCAAGTTATTTATTTGAAATAATCATTCTAATTCTATCTTTTATTTATTTTCTCCTCTGAAAAATTCCATGTAAATATTGATATGACTAACAGTTATTTTTCTATTTCTGTATACCACTATTTATAATAAACCATTTAAATATAAAATATCTTGTCCGGATTCGAAACTTCTCTTGCACAATACGCCAGTCAGTTTCTTTCATTCACATTTCATGTGCATGGATGAGGTGTGCACATGTGAAAAAGGAAAGACTGCAATAACACACAGCTAAATAAAATATAAGTGAGCGCACCTTTGACAATAAAAAACAAACATGTATGTTTGTGGTTATATTTTGTGTTCATTCTTGTATAATTTAGTACTGAGAAACTATATTAAACATGTAAAGCAGCATGGAGCTCTGGGGATTTACCAGAGGGCGCCCTCTGCTGGTAACAAATACAGAGGAGAAGAACCCATCTCCCACACACATTTGTAGCTGTAATACTTTGAAGGGAACA